ATCTATAAATTACTATTTATTATCTATTATCTAGTTAAATGTTAACATACATACCAAACAAATCCTTTCTCTTGTGGAGAAAGCTTCTTAAACTTACGGGTGAGCTTACGTTAAATCTCTCCACCTCTTTGATAGGTAGGCGGGCGGGCCGTCCTATTTAGGATTCCATTCACAACGGTAATTTGCTTTGGTTAGGCCAACTACTATACCATAGGTTACTTCTAGGTTTCATAGTGTGTGTAAAAATTTCTTCATCGACGTAACTAGTCGTGGGCTGACATTTACTTTAGTTGAAATCATGCAATGAAATCATGTAAAATTGCATGATAACCTCTGCTATATCCAAACTTGAGTCCAATATGGATTAGGACATGTAAAGTTAATCCTTTGCTAGATTGACCTCTATTGGATGAATTTCTGTTAATATAACTATACCGCAAACCTTAGCTGACACAGTTATAAAGTGTTAAAATTTTACAAAAAAAATTAAAAATTTAATTTAATTGAATTAGAAAATATTATCACACTTATATTTTATTATAATTTATTATAAATATACTTATATGGACTTAGAAAGGATTATTGTATCTTCTCTCTCATTCAACCATTATAAATCGGTCGATATGACCGGTACGTATTGATTTTTTAGGTTAACCGAAATCATACATAATGGAATTTCATTTCGATCAAGATTCGATGTACTAACCAAAATTTTGATATACCGGTCGTCATACCAAAATTTCAACCAATATACACTGTCCAAATTTTAAAAAAAAAAAAAAAAAAAAAGGATCCCCCCCTTTTCCAGTGGCTGTTGAATCCCTTCACTTTGGTGATTACCAGCTAGATCTACTTCGTCTTCTCCCCTTTTCTGGTGATTGTCGAACCCTTCTGCTTTGGTGATTACTGGTGATGAAGGTGGAGGCTGTGATGATGATGAGATGCAAGAAGATTGTCAAGATCGAAGTCCCCAAGGGGTCTTGCGACTAGATTTGCTTCGTCTTCTCTTGTTTCTTTTTTTTTTTCTTTTTATGGCTGCTTGGTGATTGGTGAGAGTGATGGCGATGAGAGTGATGAGCAGCAAGAGGATGGTGAAGATCCAAGGTGAAAGAACAAAGGTGATGGTAGCGATGGTGGATCTGTAGAAGGGAGAAAAATCAAGAGGCTTATCTCTCTTTTTTTGTTTTTTGGGCCACCTCCTCCTTCCCCCTTTAAAAGAGAGGAAACTGGGGTTTTCTTTTTATTGTTAAATTTGGGTTTTGATGGGCTGGTTTATGAAATTGAGTTGAAACTTGAATTAAATTGTTAGTGGGCTCAATATTGGGGTTTGGGCTGGATTTGTGAGTTTATTTTAATAAATTTTATCCTCAACTTTTTAATTTTTTCAATTGAGTCCTTTTCTTGTTTTTTTTCTTGAACTTCTTCACAAAATTTTTCACAAAATTTTCTGATATCGATAAATCCGAAACGATATGTAAAAAATTTCAATATCTAATATCTATCATTTCAATAACAAAACCGATACACATATCAATACGGTATTGACAACTTTGATTATAACTTTCTATCTACTTATGGATAGTTAATATTTGGGCAGTTTCTTTTGGGCCGATTATTTCCTTTGTGTGATTAGGGATGGCAATTTGCCCCGATCCCCGTGGGGCCCTGTGGGGATCCCCGCCACTGGGACGAGGCGGGGAGGAATATTCCTCCCCGCAGGGCGTGGACGAGGAGTATTTTCTTCCCGTGAAAATTCGCGAGGCCCCGTGGGGATCCCCATCCCCGCGAAAAATTAAAAAAATATGTAAATTAGTTTTATTTTAAATTTAATTCAACCTTTAAACCTAAATTCAATTCAATAAAATTTAAATTTAATCCAATTTTATCCAATCTATTATTAA